AATGCAACTCCATCCTAGTGGTCCGAGTCGGGCTATTGGGCTTCCTGGTTCCCCCCGAACATCTGCTCTTGAATACAGTAAATCTGCGTTGTCGACTCCAATCAATATGTCCACTAAACCTTCCTTTGCTGGTGTTGCAAAATCACAACTCTGAAGATGTGGCCAGTTGGTTTTATTCTTTGACCAATCCTCTACTTTGTAGCTTCCCGTTATGTTCTGAGGGCACGTTTTGACACAAATTTCCTTTCGATACTGTCCGTTAACACTTTCAATCATAACCTCCACGGGCATGGACTGGAACGTTTCAATCTCATTGTTTAACACATGAACTTTAACTGTCTTGTACGGCTCTTGTAGCCCTAACACTCCAGCAACTTGTTCATTTAGAAATGTTTCATTGGAAGCATCATCCAGAATAGCGTTGACTTTAACTTTCCGACCATTTGCCTTTAACCATACTGGAATGGTACGAAGCGACAAAACTTCAGCAGTCGACACACTCTTATTTCTTGAAGTGTGTGTTCGTGTCTCTGCCCCCTCCCGTGTCAACGGTGACTTCTCGCCTTCTTCCTTCTCCTTCGGTACAACTTCATGCAACAAGTTGTGATGGCTTCTTTTGCACCCTTGCACTGCACATGGCTTTGACCTGGTGCAGTCCTTACCGACATGATTACTTGCAAGACATCGAAAACATAAATGTTTTTCCTTTGCGACTCCCCAACGATCTGGCACACTCAAGCCAGAAAATACCTTACAGGACCAAACCCCATGATTGCCACCACATGCTGCGTAAGGTGGCTTTGAATACGGGCTGCGTGTATCGTCGTTGCTGTGTTTTCCATCTCGATTAGTGAACCAGGTTTGAGGTCGATAACTTCTTTCAGTTGGCTTGGGTCTTCCTCTGTCATACTTTCTAGTCTGCTTAGGTTCAACTCCTTCGGCCATTTCTGTAGCCTCAACTCGGATGATTACTTCTTCCTTTAGCCAGTCTCTCAACGCTTTCACTGACCGTATCTTATGTTGTTCACTAAGCCATCGACTGTAATTTTCTACTTGTCGTTCCGATAGTTTCTTTACCAGCAGGCTATGCAATGCACCATCTCCCAGTTCCCCACTGCGCCCCTCAGCTTCCAACTTCACTACGGTTACCCGCACAAGATCAGCAAACTTTTCGAAAGACTGAATGTCATTGTTCTTCAGAGTTGGCATATTTTCTAACTGATCGAGGTAAGCTTGCAACTGACGACGTTGTCCACCAAACTTAGATTTTAATATGTCCTTAGCCTCATTATACTCTGGCGCCGTAACACCCAGTCCACGAATTGCATCAAGGGCATTTCCTGAAAGACTTTGACGTAGTCGAGCCATTTTAATATTTACAGGCTCACTCCCTTCATCAACTAGACTGATGAATAGTGCCCAAAAATCCTCAAATCTAGTTTTATCACCATAATAGACTGGAACTGTTAGTGGTTTAAGACGATGATGGGTTATACCAGTGAAATTGCTTGCAAAACTCGGAGGGCTTGTTTGGGTTGTTGTAGGGTCCGGACTAACATTAGCTGTGATTGTACTGGTAGTGGGATTGCTTGCTGAACTCGGTGGGCCTTCTGTGTCTACAACAGGTGCTGGACTATCATTGACTGTGGTTGTTCCAGTGGGATTGCTTTCAGAACTAGGTGGGCTTGCTTCAACTGTCGTGGGCGCCGGATTTACATTGACTACTTCTGATACATGTCCTTGTTCTGAAATACTTGATAAGTATTCTTTGATTACTTGTTGTGCTTTCTCCACAGTCTGGTGTCCATCTGATTCAAAGTTTTCCTGTTCTTTTAGAATAGCTTCCTTAGCTTCAGCTTGGCTGGATTTGATATAAGTTGAACACAATTCATCCATCACAGATAAGCTTGTTTCCAATGCATCCCACAAAGCCTCAATTTCAGCTTCGATTTCACTCCGATTTAATTTACTCTTCTGAGCACACAGTTTTTCTAAATTATGCCTAATTTTTGTCACATTTGTTTTCCTTGCTCGTTTTTCTCGCTTTAATGCAAGCACTGTTTCTTCCAGTTCAAGATCATTCTTGGATACACTTGGTTCATCTGTCTCATTAGTTAACGGCATTATGTCCCTTAGCAAATATGCTTTGTTTACTGTTTTTGCTTTATTTTTGTTCCAAAGTTATATTTAAGAAATTAATAACTTCACCATAAAGTTCCACAAATATATCAACAAATCAGAATCAATAACTTTAGTTTGTACTCACACGTCCATTAAAATTACTGTTTATCCCATGCTTTCCTGGCTATCCCCAACCATCAAGTACGTGGCACAGTATATTTAATACTTTATTAATATAAACCGCCGTCTAATTCCAAATACCCCGTAAACTTGCTATAATTCGATGTAAATATATCGTAGAAACACCCAATAAAGTTCAAAACAATGCCGAGTTTACCACAAATTTATAAAACGTCCCGAATATTGTTCCAATACCGATACAACTACGAATAAACGCTGTAATTACGCCAACAGTCCTCGAGCACGATGTTGTGAAATTTTCCCCGATTTTAACCACGAAATTCACTTTAAAACCCCAAAATTCCTCGAATTGTCCTGGCAGGATCGCCAAATGTTGCGATATAACAATATTTAGCCTCGAAAAGTACTCGATTTAGTACAAAAACAGTGAAAATAAACTTTAATACGAAATTCCTACACGAGTTTACTGTTTACTTAGCGTTCTTGTCTATAGTACACTGATCTCAATAATCCACTGATTGTCTGCGCGCGTGTCCCGCGTTTTGCGTGAAAAAGTCATATCTCTTCTAAACAAGTATTTTTAGGTCAGAGGAACATGGACAAAAATTTGGTTTCATTATTAATTTGGTTTCATCATAGTGGTTTATTTATATAATTTATTTGGAAGTAGTATATATAAAGAAAAGGTTATTGTTGTTGTGTCAGATTTTCTTTGCTTTACAATATAATAGATTGTCACCTTTGTCAGGGACGAAATTGGTAATTACAAGATGAAGTACGTAACCAACAAGTCTTGAACCACTCAGGAGTTAAATTTCTATGATTACCCTCCCCCCCCCTCCCCCCGGTTAATTGTAGCCGGGACAAAACCCATATAACATGCTTGTTGTTCCAGTGTCGTTCCAAACATTGGGGTAAAATTAGCAGAAAAATTGAAAAATCCCACAATACACAATTTATAAAAATTAGCATTTAAGTGAGAGTTGTGCAAAATAAAAAAATGGTGTGTTTATTTTGTGAAAATTGGATTCACCATATAAATTTTACGTTGCTGGCTTGCTGCTTTTTGTCTTTTCGATACAAATAGTAGGCAAGTAATCAGTTATCCAAGTAATAATTTCTTTTTGAGCCGCAAAATTACTCTGACTATATTCTCAATATTTCTTATAAAACTAATACTTATCGTAGAACTCTCAAATTTGAATGTATTTCATTGCTCACAATAGTTCTTTCAAAAGTTTTCTCATGCAAGCTTGCTGTACTTTATGGATACATGTGTAAATAAATATATTATATATTTCATAAAAAGTATTTCCGAAAATAGTTTATAGTTTGAACAAATGGACTGGCCAGCGACTATACACATGTTTCTGTCATACACAGACTAAAATCAATTCTTTACTACTCACTATACCAGTATACTCTATCTCTGTATAAATGTCTCAACGACTTTATACTACTTGCACTGCTGTACCAAGTACTGTGCTAGTATAAAACAGCTTTTCAATTAACGTGTGCTATTTTTATTTCACGTTACTGTGAGTATATTAAATTATAATTCTTTTAAATTGATGTATTACTGTATAAAGCCGGTATTATTGGCAGTTTATAATTGAAGACCATGTTAAGTTCGTAATGTGAGCAAAGGATTTGTTTACATTTTGAACTGCTATATTTGTAAAATAAGACATACTAACATTTTTTCTGGTTTGCAATTGTAAATGAATATAAACTAGAGTACGTTAACGTTAATTCAAAAAGTTTGAAAGATGCAAAATTTGGCCAATGTTTATATCTGTGGGCCCCATTTATAATGAGCAGAACTGATACGCAGAATGGACTTGACATGGTCTTTAAGTTTGTTATTTTTAGCTTTATACATGTAGTAAGTTCACTTATAGTAATATTACAGCTAGGTATATAACGATGTAAAAGTCGTGCACAAGCCGTATTGTGTATAGTCTGTAAATATAAAAAATATGTAACAATGAATTTTATCAGGCATATGCATGCAACACTGAATCAGATCTATGTTTATGTTTTGTCACAAACATGTTGTGGTCACAGAATCAATAATAATACTCTGTGGTTGTGGTACGAGTTTTTCTCCTTTGACAAAAAGACCAATAGACAAGCAGATAGTGCTTGTGGAATGTTGGCTTGCTCCAAGTCTCTCTTTCAGTCTTTCATTGTCATATCGATCCACTATAGTGTACATTACATTTAGTCAGGCAGATAGAAAGAAAAAACGTACGTTATCGTGGGACAATTCCATTTTGCCTTCATATTGTGCCCTGAAGGCTAGTTAGTAGGTTTTTGTATGTTGGCCGTGTTGGCCGACACGTTTTTCTTCGAATGTTGTATTAATGCGCCGATCAAAACGAAGGTGTAACATCCCCCCCCCGGGCATATACCCGGGCATTTGACTTTTTGGATTTTGCAATGATCAAATTCCCCACCCCAAGTCAAAAAACAAAGTTCAAATGCCCTACATTCCACAACTAAGTTGTGGTCAAATGCCCCATTGTAAATTTAATTTGAAGGTTGAAGTATTGAGTTCTTGAGGCCAACCAGTCGAAGCAGTTTTTCCCACTTTTCTTGAAAGTTGATGAAAAATACATATTTCTAACTTCTAATTTTATCAAATACCTTCAAAAGTTCCCTTTAACTTCTCTAGTCCATTCTGGGACAACCAATTTTCAACATAACTTATATTTTGGCCACGAAACTCACTTATTAATGTCGCCATTTTCTCAAAAACTCGAAAAGTCCGAAAACACAAAAGCAAAAAATGTGCTTTTGATTGATGCATAAATGCCTGCGGTTTCTTGTGTCAGCGGAAAGCAAGACTATCTATGCTTCATGTTAGGTGATCTAAAAGTTTTTTTAGTTGTGGTAAATCGGTCAAATTCCCGTCCTCATTATAAGTGGAATCAAATGCCCCACCACTTCAAATCTGCCAACAACAAATGCCCCACCACTTCAAATCCGACAACAAATGCCTGCCCCTAGGGAAAATCACGAAAGGTAAATGCCCCTCTCGTGCCCGGGGGGGGGGGATGTTACACCTTCGTTTTGATCAGCGCATAAGGTTACGGGAATTAATTAACACAATGTCTAAAACCGCCTCTTATGATTTTATTTACAAGAATGTGCCTATTTCAACAAAGCAAGAGAGTATTGTTCGTTTGATGGAAGTTGCAAGCCAGTTTCACCTAAAATTGAAATAACTACGGACACAAGAAAACAACAGCGTTTGCCAATGAAACCGTCAGACCAAGGTCAAGTGCAAGCCCAAAGCCAAGACAAAAATGTTCGTGTTTTCACAGAGGAGGAAATTCATGGGACACCATTAATTTCAGTTTTTGAGAGTGAAAAGCGAATTTTTTGGAATTCATTAGCAGCTAAGCTTGAGAACCACCACACTTATAAGTCCTGGTCTGTTCAGGAAAAGCACGGCATACTTGACACTGAGTGGACCTTAAAATTTACAGAATTACTAAAGCTGGAAGCAGACAAAAAACTTGTTGGCGAAGCTGGCGATGAGTACGGGCGTAGTATTGCCAAAAATATCGATAAGCTCCAAAAATCAGATTTTGAACGAATGACATGCTACAATAGAATAGAAAGATTAAATAAAGTCACCATAAAAACTGATGAAATCAGAAAAAGTATTGAAAATGAGGAAAACCATTTGCACAAGCTGTTCAGCAAGTTAAATCTTGCTCAGTCAGACCTAGCCAAATGCCTCAGCCAACCTGCTTTCTTTAAGGCGGAGACGAAAGATATAGCCTGTGATCTTATAAAAGGCGACGACAATTTTGTGGTTTTTGTGGGATCTCAATCTGACCCAGGAACAGGTCGAAGAAATTGCAACGCAAACAAAAGCCGAGAACGAAATAACATCCGACAACTAGTGTGACAGATGTTACATCTGATTGAATTAGTCAAATCATCTCTTCTTCTTCTCTTCATTTAGTCAAATCAAATCATCTGTATTATAAAATTTGACTTGGTTCAGAACATTTGCTAATGTTAATATTTAATATTGTTTGACATATTTTGTTGAGATAGTTTATTGAGATATTTTTATAACATATATTAAATAAAACGGTCGTTTATCAATATTCGTACGTTGCATGAACAAGTCGAAATTTTGTCTATACTATCAAGACAAGTGTCACAAATACAC